TGCCTGGAATTCCATGGGGGCGATGCTCCCCCTGCAGGAGCCAGGGGAGGGGAGGCTGGGCCGGTGGCAGGTGTGGCCCAGGTGGGACCTGGGTAGCCCAGCGACAGGTGGCGCTGCGAAAATGCTCCGTTCTAACCCTGTGAGTGACAGCGCGGGAAGCTGAGGCACAGGGTGGAGGGAGGTCTCTGCGAGGAACCCAAGGGGCTTGGCTCCAGGGGCGAGGTGACCCCTGGCTCAGTAATGCTGCCTGCATGGGGGGCACCTCCACCCCCTCCTGGGGCAGCCGCAGTGTTGTAATTAGCCGGCCCGCCCATGCCCGTGGGAGGTGGCTTCTCAGGGTGGGGGTGGGTGGAGGGTGGTCAGCAGTCCCGTTTGGGGGTGGGCCGGCTTTATGCCTGTTCCGGTGACTTCTTCCCCTGTGTCCCCCAAGCTTAGCCCAGCGCCCGGCACTGGAAGATGCTCAATGAACATTCGTAAGTTGGATGAATGAATGAATGAACGGATGCTGGCTCCTCTGTCCCCCTTGGAGGGAGTCCTGAGCTCTGGGCCGGGAGCAGGGGAGGCCGCAGGGAGGACCCCGGTGGCAGAATGGGCTCAGAGCCAGTGCTGAGGGCTCGGTAGGGGGGAAGTGTGGGAGTGGGGTGTCTTGGGCAATGATGGGTGAACAGTGGAGCTTCAAGCAGAGGCAGGCAGCCCCAGGGGTGCAGTCTCCCATGTACCTGGACACCTGCGTGAGCTGCGGCCAGTGTGTCCCTGTGTGATGTCACAGGCGGCCTGGCCAGCAGTAGCCACACCTTCCAAGCCATCTGTGCCCCCAGCTGTAAGCCCCCGGCAGGAAGCTGGGTCTGGGAGGGAGGGGTGCTGTCTCTGGCACCCAGGCGGGGGACCTCCCCGCAGCGGGGTGGCGGAAGGGGCACCTGCAGGGCACCTGGCAGTCCTGCTTTCCCTGTTGCACCTCAGTTTCCTCGTCTGAGCGGCTGCATGGTGGCCATAGAGGCCCCGTTTTCCAGCCGTCAGTGCCCGTCCCTTTGTCCCCTCGACACCCCAGCAAGGCAGGGCTTGTCATACCTTTTGGTGAGGAGCCGGGGCTCCGAGGGGCGGGTGGTCACAGACAGCTTTGGGTTCAACCCCAGACCGGCGAGCCCAGAGCTCTGCAGGCAGATCGGCCCTTGTCCTCCTGTCACTCCTCTGCTCAGCCCCCCTCCTCCGGCCCTACTCCTTTCCTCTCATGCCAGGTCCCTCCAGGGGAGTGTCCAGGCCCAGCAGGGTGTGGCCAGGCCAGCTGAGGCCAAGGTGGGGAGGCCCAAGCCCTCGCCAGGACTGGGGCAAGGGCAGCCTGCAGAGTGGTGGCAGGCAGCCTTCACCATGTGGGTGCCGGCCAGGTGGGTGCCATTGAGGCCAGGGATGCTTAGCGTGGGCCTGGCGGGCTTGGCGTGCCCCTGGGGTTCAGGAGACCCAGGGTGCCTGGTGGCAGCCAGGGTGGAGCACAGCGGCCTTGGCCACACCCACGACTGCCCACGGAGGTAGCAGTTCTGCCTCCTGGGTCTGCACTGGAGCTGCGGCCCGGTCAGTGCTGGCGGCTGATGGTACGTGCGGGCGGGCCACTTGGGTTGGCAAGTGGGTACCACGCCCCACGAGGCACCATTAAAGCCACGGTGTGGTGAGGGCGGCCCATGCAGTGCCCAGGGGCAGTGGTGGAGCTCCGGGGAGTGTGTTCGCAGCCCTCTTCCCCATCTCCAGATCCTGGAGGGTAGAACAGGTGCCTTCCCCGGGTGGAAACTCAAGCCTGCTCCCAACAGCTCTGCTTCCAGGTCACAGCCTGGGCACCCCATGACCGGCTTGGAGCGGGCCCCATCGGAAGGTGCCTTCCCTTCCTGGCAGTGTCACCATTTATACAGGAGGCCTCAAGCCCCAGAGAGAGCAAGCATTGGCCCCGGGCTACACAGGGAGTCAGGGCAGCTGGTCAAGCCCTGATGATGAAGTTCCAGGCACGAGGAGCATGCCTGTTCCCCTCGTCGGCCAGCTCCTCCAGGAAGCCTTCCCTGACCACCTGATCCTCCAGTTCTGCCCTTCACAGTGCCTGCTGTGCTGGCTTATTCGGCCCCAAAACTTTCCTGCTGCTGGTCCCCATCCCAGCAGGGGGCACTGAGGAGGCCCTAGAGGGAGGGATTCATAACTCGGGGAGCTGCCCGAGAGTGGAAGGTGCTGCCCAGGAGCAGTGAGCACCCTGTCACCGGAGGTGTACAGGCTGGCGATCAGATGGCGTAGTGACCTTTGAGTTTCCTCTGGACTTCGGGGGCTCGGATCCTGTGATGGGTTCTGGATGGCTCCCGGATCTGGACCTCTGCCCAGAACAGTTGGGTCACTTGTTCCTTCCACAACAAGTGGGGAGCCCTCCTGGTGCCAGGCCCTGTGCTGGAGGTGGGTGGAGTCGACAGCCTCTGAACCCCTCCTCCTTCAGGACACACCTACCCTGGGGCCAGGACTCTCTGCTCCGAAGGGCATGTGGCTGCAGGGAGGCGGGGTGGGTGGGAGGGGAGGCGGTGGAGCTTGGCCAGCGATAGGGGCTGGACCCTCGGTGCCACGGGTCCAGAGGCAGGAGGGTTCTGGGAAGGTTTCTTGGGGGATCAGCGTGGACTCGGCCTGTGGGGTCTCCCCTCCCGGCCCCCGAGCAGCGTGTGGACTTGGGCTCATCTGGGAGGGTTCCAGGAACGGCTCCTGCCTTGATAAAAATAGACTTCTCTGAAGGGCTTGGGACTGTGCCAGCTGCAGCAGGTGCCCCAGGCGAGGGTGGACAGGGGTGCAGCCTCGGCAGCACGGTGGGCTCTGGGTCCTGGGTGCAGTGTCACAGAGCTTGCTGGGACCTCTCACCCTGTACGGATGAGGATGTAGTGTGGGGTGGCAGAAGCAGCTTGCCCAGGGCTCCTCTCTCCCAGAGGGCCAGGGTCAGGATGAGCAGGGTCTCTGGGGCCCAGCAAAACAGTCCAGCTTTGGTTCTTCTGTTTCCTTGGGCAAAGCCCCTCGACCCCTCTGAGCTGCAGTTTTATTAATACAGTGTGGCCGACGTGTCTTGTTCATGGGGCGCAGTGTCCAGCATGGTGTCTGAGGGGACACACTCTCAGAAAGTGGTCCAGGTGGGAGAGTGGTGGGGCCCTGAGCTCCCAAAGCTGGCCTTTAGGAAGAGGCTGCTGCAAGTGGGGACCTAAGAGCACTGGACTGGGAGTCCTGGCTCGAGCCCGCCTTGGTTCTGGGTGGAGGAGCCCTTGCTGTGAGCCGGTGGGCAGGCCACCTGGCTTGGCTGGGAGGGGGCTCCGGCGGGCCTTTCTGCCCTGTACACAGCTGTCCTATCCTCACCTCCTCTGCCTGCTTGCCCGGCTGAGGGTGGGAAGAGTGCGGGTCCCGGCATGACTGACACTCTCTGGGTATGTGTGTGGGGAGAGCCTGGGAGGGGGCCGTGCTCTGGGCTGGGCCCCTGGCCAGTTCCTCCCACCCCGCCCCTGCGGTGCTGACCGACGATTGCAGGGGCCAGGCTGGCTGTCTGGGAGCTGGGCTCAGAGCCGGGTTCCCAGCGAGGCAAGGCCTCTGGGGACCCTGTGTGCTGGGGGCTCTCCCCACCCTGCTCCACCCCCTTCCGAGGGCCTCCGCCTGGGCCGGGGCAGGTACAGGGTTGACTGCGGTGCCAGGCTGCACTCTCGGGGCTCACAGGCTGGGGAGCATTCGTGTTCCTGACATGGTGCTTCCAGGAGGTGAAGCCAGGACCCTGCTGTGGGGGGGGCAGGCCCAGACCCAGGGAGGGCTTCCCATCACAGAGGGCCTTCTGGGGAGGGGGCGTCTGCACTGAGCATTGGAGGATGAGCCGGGATGTGGAGACCGCTCCCTGTGTGTCCGGGTGCTTCGGTTTCCTCACCTGCATACGGGGGGGGGGGGGGGGGGGGGGGGGGGGGGGGGGGGCGGGGTGCCAGCGCCCGCCCAGGGGTGTGGTGACGATTCAGTGCGGGACAGCAGCATCTGGGAGGAGCTGCCAGGGCCACGAAGGGGGCACACAGTGGAGGGGCCCCCGGGTTTGAGGCTGGAGCAGGAGGGCTTCAGGGCCAGACCAGGTGGTGGGCCACCATCCTGTGGGTGTCACCCTCGGGAACCCACCTGGGCCACAGGCACCCTCCTTCCCATTTGCAACGTAGGGAGCTCGCCCTCTGGGCCTTGGCTTGTGCTGCGGTCCCCGCCAGGAGCCTGGCTCCATGCTGAGCTCCTCACGACCTGGCGCCGCTCCCTCTCCGCAGAGCGAATCCTTCCTTGGAGAAGGAAGGCCATGGGGAGCCCCAGAGGGTTCAGGAGGGCGCCGGAGCCCGGCGGGAGGAAGGCGGGGTGCGCGAACAGCGCCCCCGCCCTTGCGTTTCCCTTTCCTCTGCGGCGTTTCCTCTCCCGGCTCGGCCCTCCGCCGCCCTTTTGTCTGCCCCTGCGCGCGGGCCGGGTCGTGGTTATATTTAGGCGGCAGGTGTGGGAGCCACTACAAGCCGGGTCGCTCGCCGGTCACCGGCCACGCCGCCCACGTGATGCCCGGGCGCTATAAATAGCCCCCCGGCAGTCTGGCCGCGGAGCATCCGTGGGGAGGCCGGCGCGCCCCGCGCACTGGGTCTCAGCCACCGCGTCCCAGCCACCGCGTCCCGGCCCTGCCCGGCCTCGCGCGAATGGAGGCGGTGGAGGCGGGACGCCTGCGCGCCGGTGAGCCGGGGCGCAAGAGGGCGGGGGCCGTGCCGGGAGGACCCCAGCCCCGCCCCGGGGAGGGGGCCGTATCCCTCGGAACCAGCCTCCCCCGCCCGTCTCCCCCGCCCCCTCGCCCTGCTGCTCGAACACCGCGGGACAGGATGCCTGCGCGCCCACGGCGCCACCCCAGCCCACTGGTCCCAGCCCCGCCCACGGTGCTCCCATGCCCCCCCTCCTTAGCTCTCCTGGGACCCCACTGAGCCGTGGTCCTCCAGCCTCCCCCCAATATCATACAGGGTCCGGGGTGCAGAGAGGCTGGCGCTCTCTGAAGCCCTCTGCAAACTCCAGCTTCTCAACCAGCTGTGCCACCGGGAATGAGCCTCCTGGACTTGAGATTGAGAACGCCCGCGAGGAGCGCTTCCCGGGGCCTGGCGTGGTCAGGGCCCCGAGAAGGCCCTCCAGCTCTCCCTGGCTGGTTTATTTATCTGCAAGCAGGGGCCAGGATGGGGCCGCCCCTAACGGGTCTGGAAAGGAGGACTGTTCTGGACATAGCAGAGGGCTCAGAGCCGGCCCGGGTGGAGGCCGCTGGGGTCCCAGCCCAGCAGTGACGTGGGGCCGGTGGTAGGAAGGCCAGAGGGAGGGGCCTTGGGCTCCCAGAAGGGCTCCCGCATCATGGGGGGTGGCGGCCAGGAGCAGTGGCTGGTGGACTTGGGTCAGCCCTGCCTGGGGGCCTGCTCAGTGACCTCACCGAGGGGGTGTGGTTAGGAGGGAGGGCCCCTCCCTGGGGGGAGGCCACAGGCCTGGTTGAGCCACAGGCCTGGCTGCCCGGGGCAGGAAAGGGGGCTTTCACTGCTTTGCTCTCACCTGGGGGTGTGGGCCCTAGACATGGAGGAGACAAGTGGGGTGTGTGGCTAGAGCCCGACCCGGCCTGGGCAGTGATCTCGGTTCAACCTCGGCCCAGACCCTGACCCCATTCTAGCTAGGGCCGGGCCCCCTGACCCCTGCCAACGGGTGACCCTTGAGGCTCACGTGGGCAGCAGTGTAGTGTGGCTCTGGGCCCTCAGCTCTGAGGGCCATCCAGGGACACTGGCAGAAGAGCCAGGCCATGTGCCCTTGCCCCCGGGGTCTCCCCAGGTGTCCAGCAGCTATGCGCGGTGAGGTGGCGGGTCAGGCCCTTGGAGAGGCCTGTAGTCCTGTGGCTTCCTGGTAAACACGCACGCACACAGGAACAGCCCGCAGCCCCAGGAGGAGCAGGTGTTTGTGTGCTGCTCAGGGCGCCCGCGGCTGGCTCCTTCCTTGCCTGTACTGGGAGCGAAGCTCGCTCTGGGAGGGTGCGGGATCCCTTCTCCCTGTCTTTTGCCCCCTCCCCGGGGACGCCTGCGTAACCCTCCTAGACAAGGCACGGAGCAGAGTGTGAGCCTGGGAGCGGCGCTGGAGGCCCTCCACCGCGTCCGGGTCCCAGCTGCGGGCCCTGTCTGCACCCAGGTTGAGGCTCCAGGGGCCCAGCCGGCCTGGTGGGCAGCTGGGGAACGGGGTGCTGGGCGGGGCAGAGGTAAGAGTTGTCTGCCGCGGGGGATGGAGGACCTGCCGGGTGAGCAGGTGGGATTGGGCCAAGCCCCGTGGCCGGGGGAGTCCGCTGACCACTGGGTTGTGCTGGAGGGACCTTGGCAGCATCTCGTTTGGCCCCTCACTGTACAGATGGGGAAACTGAGGCCAGTGATGTGCCCAAGTCCTCCCAGCCCGTCTGTGTGGGTGGGAGTGAGGCTGGCTGGGTGCTCCTGCCGGGGCCCCTGGCCCTGGCCCTTTGGGGCCTAGAGAGTGAGAGACAGGCACGAGGTGCTTGATGGCTGTCTCTGTGGCCCAGCAGCATCCCTCCTTGAGGCCCTGTCACAGCGGGACCCCACTCCTGGCCACCTGCACTGTTACCATCTTGGCAAGCACCTGGTGGCCGGTCCTGGCCATTTGGCCCCTGTGGTCTGTCCCCGCTTCTCCGAGCTGCTGGAGGGCAGAGCCGCTTGTTTACCTCCGGCGCGTGGCCAGCCCTGTGGGCGAGTGGTGGACGGTGGCCCAGGGCAGAGGCTGACCAGAGCCGGAGGTTTCCCCGGGGAGCCCTCGAGAGATGCGTAAGGCGGTGCATGGCTGTGAGTGAGGCTGCCGCACCCTCAGCCCACCGTGCTCTGCGCCTGAGCCCCTTTCCCGGAGCACCGGCTGGCCCAGAGCAGCGTGGGCTTGGAAATGCCACAGAGGCCGGCGTTCTGCAGAGGAGGGGGTGACTGTCCCGGGGCGGGGGTGGACATCCTGGGGTGCCCGGGCTCAGGGGATGGGGGCTGGGCCTCTGTTACCACAGACTGCCCTGAAATCCGTGTTTCGGGGTTCAGCACGCTCCCGGGGGAGGGGTATGTCCCTCCCTCCGTCCCTCTCTGCCCTGTCCTGGTGGCTGTCCTGTCACCTCAGGGCCCTGGGTCAGCCCTAGCAGGAGCCGTCCTTCCTTGTGCTCCCAGATGGGGAAACCAAGGCCCAGGGAGGGTGGCTCGCTCAGCGCGGCCTTGTAGCAGGGCCCGGGAGAAGCACCGGCCGGGACCCCTCCCGGGAGGTGGGGCGCCCGGGGACCCCTTCCCTTTTCATTTCTTTTTCTCCCCTCCTCCCCAGACGCTGCCTGCCGCTGACCAGCCCGGGATTTATGGAGAGGGCCTCAGAGGGCCACTCTGAGTGCCGCTGCGGCCAGCATCGCCGCCGCGCCTGCTGCTGAGACCCCGCGCCCCCGGCCCTCACCATTGCCCTCGCCCGCCCATGGCCCCCGCCGCCCGGCCCGGGGCCGGCGCTGCCGCCTGAGCCCCCTGCCCCCTTCCAGGACTCGCCGTACCCCGATGGGGTAACGTGACGGAGGCCCCGTGTCACAGCCGCCTGCTCCCACCCCAAGGCCGCCCCGTTGGTTCAGTTGGAGTTCATTCTTCCTTTGGTCCTTGGGGGTTTGGGGCCTTTGAGTGAAGGCGGCCGTCGACCTGTCCACGGATGCAGACGGGGCGTCCCCAGCGACAGGAGAGCGCTGGCCACGGCCGCAGCGGTCGGACTCACTTTGGGCTTCTTAAAGATTTCTTTGCTGACTGTTTTTGGTTGTCGTTATTTTTGCTTTTGCCCCCTTGTAATTATCCAGCACGGAGAGGCAGGAGCTTGGACTGGTCCATTTTACTTCCGGGGGGCTCTTTCGTTCCTTTCGTTTTTTAAAGAGTTGGGTTTTCTTTTTTAATTATCCACCCGTTAATCCGGGCAGCATCCTCCCCCCTCCCAAGTATTTGCACAATATTTGTGCGCGGTGTTGGGGGGCAGGTTTTTAAAGAAGCATTTTCTCTCTCTTGGACAAGCACAGGGATCTCGTTCTCCTTGGGTTCTGGGGGGCTGCTGGGGCCTTCTCCCACCCACGCCCCCGGCCCCGCCTGCAGCCCTTCCTGGGCGCCGCCCCGCCTTCGTGGTGCAGCCATGGCGCGGATGAACCGGCCGGCCCCCGTGGAGGTCAGCTACAAGAACATGCGCTTCCTCATCACGCACAACCCCACCAACGCCACCCTCAGCAGCTTCATCGCGGTGAGTGTCCAGCACGCCCGGCCGCGCGGCCGGGGGTCTCCCGAGGGCCGCAGTGAGACGCAAAGCTGTCGGCCCAGGGACTGCGCTTGGGAGCGGAGCTGCCAGCCTGGTTACAGGGTCCCCGGGGGGCACCCGAGGGTGTCCTTCCCGCAGAGCTGGGGTGAGGACTGCGGGGGTATCCGCTGGGCCCGCTGGGGCCTGCAGGGTGGGCAGCGGGAGTCCACGCTGCACGAACAGAGGCAGGTTCCGAGGCAGGAGGAGAAATGGGCCTCGCCTCCTCGGGACGTCACCTGTGGCCGGCGCAGTCCCGAGCCTTTGCTGGCCGTTTGGCCTCTGTGAGGAGGCTGAGCGAAGGAGGAGGGAGGGTCCCCCATGTGAGGACTGGCTGCTTCAGCAGCCTGGACACAGGCGGTCGCAGGGCACGAAGGCCAGCTGCATGGCCAGCCCAGGCCGCAGGAAGCCCACCGGCAGTGGGGGAATCCTTGGGTTGGAACAGGCCGGCTGGGGGCTTCAGGCCACAGATACCTGTGTGAGGAGGGGCTGGGCGGGAGTCCGAGGCGGCCCCGGGATAGAGTGACCGCCGGACCCTTGGAGCCAGCAGGTTGAGGTGTGCGCTGCTCGTGGCCGCAGCAGATGGGGCCAGGTGTGTCTGCAGAGCCCGCAGCTCTCCACCTGGCCCCTGCAGGAGACTGGCCTCTGTAGTGCCCCTTCCTGTTTGCAGAGCCTGTGGCTGTGTGCAGGGCCATTTGTGGCCTCAGGCCTCCAGCCATTCCCTCTGCAACATGAGATAAGCTTCCTTGAGCGCTTGTCCTGGTTGAACAGGGGCCTGGGCATGAGAGGACTTCAGCACCCGTAGAGAGAGGCAGTGGGCACCCTGCCATTGGGGGACCTGGACCCTGGATGTTGAGGTGGGACCCTGTAGGGGAGGGCTGTCCCCCTGTATAGCCTGTGATTAGGGTCAGGGCTGAGTGTGACCAGGATTAGGGCTCAGTGTGTGATGGAGGGTCAGGACTCAGTGTGGGAGCAGGGTCAGAGCTCAGTCTGTCACTAGAGGCAGGGCTCCGTGTGTGAGCGGGGGCAGCGCTCAGTCTGTGATGAGGGTCAGGGCCCAGCCCTGGGCTGGGTGGAAGCACCCTCGGCTGCAGGCACAGAGGGATGTGAGGCGCCCCTTTGGCCTCAGAGCCCTGCACCACCGCCCCCTGCTCCCCGCATTCTCAGAATAGCTCTGTGCTGTCCTCACTGGGTCCAGTGTCCCCGTCGCATGATGAGCAAGGTCCAGCAGCCGGTTCCTCACTGCTCCTAAAATTGCTGGGAGCAGGTCGGGGTGGGTGCAGCCCCGGCACGTGGACCCCGTGGAGTGGAGCCCTCCGCCCCAGTGTATAAATATCCCTACGCCTGGCTGTGACCTTCTCCCTGGCAGCCCGGGGCTTCCCCGCTGGTGTGCAGGGCCTGGCTCCCTCCTGGGTGCCATCTGGGCAGGCGCCTGCCCTCCCCGCCCCGAGGCCTGCCCTGCCGAGACTCTGAAAGCCTCTGTTCGGGGTCTGGCTGTGCCCCTTGACTGGACTTGTCCCTGCAACCCTGGCTGGGAGGGCTGCCCAGAGCAGGGACCGTGCAGGGGCTCATGTGTGGGCTGGTGGTGTCCTATCCCTGCCTGGGGACCCAGGATCTTTGCCTGGAAATTGCTGATGTGATCTGGGGCCCTGAGCACCCGAGAGGAGGGAGGTAGTGCTAGGAAGCTGGCTCCCGGCTGGGTAGCCACGATGGCAAGGAGGGTCGGTGGGGACACCCTCCCTGCTGCTGGGTGGGCCCAGGGACAGTTGCCCCAGGAGCATCAGGAAAGACTGTCCCACCCTCGGCAAGTCACTGAGCCTGAAAGTCAGTGAGCCACTGGTGATTCACGCTGGGTGTCAGCCTTTCTGCCTAGTCAGGGGGTCCCCAGCCCTGAGCCCCGCAGTCCCGGCTCAGCCCTGCCTTCCTTCCCCTGCCAGGACCTGAAGAAGTACGGGGCCACCACCGTGGTGCGTGTGTGCGAAGTGACCTACGACAAGGCCCCGCTGGAGAAGGACGGCATCACCGTCGTGGTGAGGCTGCCGCGTGGGGCGGGGCTGCAGGGAGCTGGGGCCCCGCACCGGGAAGCAGGCACGCGTGGCCTCTCCGCGTGCGCCTTGCTGCGCCCCCCTCGCCGTGTTCGTGCCCGGGCCTCACTTCTAAGGGTCTGGGCTGCCTCAGGGGCGCACCTCTGTCTCCCTGCCTGGCGTTCGGGGCCCTGTCACCGGGCAGCGGGTGCCTCCGGGAGGGTGGGCTGGGGCCACCTGGCGGGCCCCTGGGGAGGCTCTACCGAGGCAGTGGGGAGGGACCCTGGGGGCTGTTTCCTTGGTCCCCGGTGCTGGGGACCTGCGTCTAGGCGGCAGGCCCTGTGGGATGGGCCACGGGTTTCCCGGTGCCTCGACCAGAGCCCTGGGGCCGGCCCTCTGGGGAGGACGCCGAGCCAGGCGACCGTGGTGAGAGTGGTGGAAGGGTCGGAGCCTCAGGGTCAGACGGGCCTGCCTGAGTCCCGCCTCTGCCCCTTCCCCGCTGAGTGATCCCAGTTTCCTCACCTGTAGAGCGTGGGTGCTTGAAAAGCACCAGGTGAACGTGGTAAAGCGACCCGTGGCACAGGGAGTCCGCAGCCTTTCGCACCCCTCTCACTGCAGCAGGAAGGATCTGAGTTAGACTTACAACCGCCAGGCAGACCGGTTTCCTCCAGGGGTTGCTGAATCTGGAGTCCGGCAACAGGATTAGGTGACCCGGGGGCCTAGCCTTGGTGGGCACATGTGGATGTACTCAACGGCACTAAGTCTGCTCCACTGGGACTTAAGTGCTTCCATCCTCACTGGGCCCGGCCTGCTCTGTGCAGCTGTGCTGGGGGCTGGGGACACAGACAGGCACATGTCACCATGTTTGTGGGCCAGACCCCTTGGGCCTCCTGACCCAGAACCTCTCAGGCTGGGTGAGGGTCAGGCTTTGGCCCCAGAATCGCAGTGTGGGCTGATGGGGAGGGGGGTAGGGCTCCCGGGGCTCCTTGAAGAAAAGAGCAGGGTGTTCCGGGGAGGCTTCCTGGAGGAGAGGGCAGCTGAGGGAGCGGAGAGGATGAAGAGGAGCCTCGCAGTGGGGAGCTCCCTGGCCCTGTGCCCTGGCCCTCACCTCGTGGGCTCCCGACACCCTCTGTGCTTCCCGAGAGCCCGTGTGCAGGCCAGCCTGTGCCCCTCACCCCACCTTCTGGTGTGGAGGGCCCTCACGGGCTGCTTCCTTCCGCAGGACTGGCCGTTTGACGACGGGGCGCCTCCACCCGGCAGAGTGGTGGAGGACTGGCTGAGCCTGCTGAAGACCAAGTTCTGTGACGACCCCGGCAGCTGCGTGGCTGTGCACTGCGTGGCCGGCCTGGGACGGTGAGCTGGCGGGGCAGGGCAGCTGGCTTGAACTTGGGGACCCTGTGGCCTGGCTCACTCTCGGATGTGGGTGCTGAGCCCACATCACACATGACCTCCTTCCTTGGAAGTTCCCAGACCTGGGCGGGGAGGAAGTCCTTCCCAGAGTCTGACCCTGCTCCCTCCTGCTGTGGTTGGGACTGTGCACTTGAGCAGGAAGGAGCTGCCAGCCCCGCCCCTCTCCAGGCACAAAGGCCCTGCCCCCGGCAAATAGCCTGGGTTTCACTGACGGACCCAGGTGGTGGAATCCCCATTTGCAGAGGGACTGGCTGAGTGGGGTCGATAGCCAAGAGTCAGTCTCTTATCCACAACCAGACCTAAGCCCAGCGCTTTACTCTCCCTCCTTCAACCCTCCCACCAACATATTTACACACAAGGAGCCTGAGGCACAGAGAGGTTGCCTGGCTCACCTGAGGTCACACAGCAGGGTCGGGAGGAGCCTGTGCCCTCCACAGGGCAGGGCAGGGCACTGGGGGAGTCTGGGCAGCCCTCAGGCCCCAAGGGGGAAGGCATTGCTCTGTGTCTTCAGTAGGCGGCCTGTCAGGGGAGGGGTTGGGAGTAGAGGCTCGGGTGATTTCGTTCTGCCGTCCGCTCTAGGGCTCCGGTCCTCGTGGCTCTGGCCCTCATCGAGAGTGGGATGAAGTACGAGGACGCCATCCAGTTCATCCGACAGTGAGTGGCCGGTGGGGGAGGGCGGTGGTGAGCGCTCAGGGGTCCGGGTTGAGGGGGCCCTTATCCTGTGCTCCCCGCCCCGCAGGGCCCAGTGCCCTGCCAGTGGGCACTCCTGACCCCTGGCCCCGGGGTGTCCTCTGAGGCATCCCCCGGTCCAGTGCAGCCTCCTTTTGTGGTACCAACGTACCGCTCAGGCCGCCTGGCCCTGACTGAGGACTGGTGTCTGAGTGTGGCCTTCTCCCCTGGCTGGGAGGTACGAGTGAGGAGAGGCTCCAGTGAGGGCCTGGCTGGTCCCACCTCCGTGGCCCGCGGCTCCCTCAGCCTGGGGCGCAGGGCAGTCCAGACAGGCTGTGCTGTGCTGAGTAACGAGCAGGCCCGCGTAGGGAGTTGGGGCAAACAGCTCTTTAAGCCTCCAGCACTCCTGATGAGGGGTGTCATTCTCCTTACCTGGGAGAGGAAGGACCCCCAGAAGCCATCCAGCCCAGCCCCTCTGTGAAAGGAACCTCCTGTGGCATCTGCCCACCTTCCCCAACACCCCAGGGACGACTGACGCACGGCGGTCTTTCAGAGCTGCCCTTCCGAAGCCCTGGCCCCTGGGGCCTCTGCCCCAGCTTCTCAGCCCCCACGGGGGTCTCCCCCCTCCTCCTCCTCGGGTGGGGGGCTCCTGTCTCTACCACTGCTCCCGGGAAAAGAGCCCTGGTGGTGCAGGGTCTTGGGGTGTCAGCAGGGACAGTGGGGCGGATGGCAGAGGACCTGGGCCTGCACTGGGCCTGCCCCCGCCCCCAGCCCAGCCGCCGTGTGCGTGTGTGTGTGTGTGTGCGTGCGTGCGTGTGTGTGTGTGAGAGACACGCACGCTCTGCCTGTGTGTGTTCTTGTGCTGCTCCCCCGGTGGCGGCTTCCAGGGCACAGCCACCTTTCTCCCAGAGGCAGGCTTGTTTACCAGCCAGACAGCCAGGCCTGCGTGCACCCGTGGGAGCTCAGGCCTCCTCGGGAGCCCGGCACTCCTTCACACACGCGCGCACACACAGGCACACGCTGTTTCTCTCCGTGAGCCTGTGTGCAGCTCTGCGCCTTGGTGCAGATCCAAGGGGCACCAGGGCGAGGGCCGGGCCTTCACCAGAGCCCTTCCTGCACCCACCTCGTTGGTGGTTCCCCAGCTTGAGGCCCGAGGCCCGTGATTGGGGGCTGGGCCCAACCTGGTGACTCAGAGAAGCACAGGCTTGCACCTCCCCCGCTCACGTTTCCTTGGCCAGAGCAAGTCTGTGGCCACGTCTGAGGTCACGGGCGGGTGGGGACAGATGGCCTCCAGAAGCGCCCGGTGGGCAGCCCTAGGTGCCCTCACACCTGGGCACCTGAGGTCCACCTCCCCCCTCCTCTACTCCCCCTCCCAGCCAGCCGGGATGCCCAGGCTCCACCCCTGCGGCCTCTGGGGTCCCAGGGCCTGGGGGTGAGGTGGTGCCCAGGTAGACACGGGGACCTTGTGGGTGGGGGTCAGGGAGCCAGCCTGGAGGAGGTGATAGCCAGGTGAGTCGAAGGCCAGCAGCGGTGACTGCAGGTGATGGGGGAAGGGTGATTCTGGCCGCAGGAACAGCCCGGGGAAAGGCCTAGAGGCGGGACGGGCTCTGCTGGCTACGAGGACCCGCTCCAGCCCCACTGGACTCTGGTGCCTCGAGGCCCTGGGGCAGGGCAGGTGGCCGAGCCCGGGTCCCGCCTGATCCCCGCCCCCCCCCCCCCCGCCCCGTTCCGTCCGCCCAGGAAGCGGCGTGGAGCCATCAACAGCAAACAGCTTACCTACCTGGAAAAATACCGGCCTAAGCAGAGACTGCGGTTCAAGGACCCACACGCGCACAAGACCAAGTGCTGTGTCATGTAGCTCAGGACCTTGGCGCCCTGGCCTCGGGCTCAGCGGGGCTCCATCTCCCTCCTCTCCAGATGCCTCAGCACACCCGCCACCAACGGTCCGGCCCACCCCACGCGCCCTTTGCTGTCTCCTGTCACCGTCCCCCTGCGTCTCTGTCCACACGCGCGTGCAGGTGTGTGTGTGTGTGCTCGCACCACTGTCTGGTCCATCCTTCCTTTTGTCTACATGCCCGTGTCTGTCTCTTCCTCTGTGCCCCGTGTGTCTCTGTCTGTGCCCTCGGCTCCTTCTGTCCCTCTGAAGCTTAATTCCCCCTAATCTCCCCCTCACCCTGTGTCCCTGGCTCTCCTGCCAGTGCCCTGCCCCTGCCCCTGGGCAGCTCTCCTCTTTGGCCCGTTGGTTTGGGGGCTGGTGTATTTTTTAACCACTGGGCCCGGCCCCTCCTCTGCAGCCCCTCACCCTGACCTGTTCTTGGCACCTTAAATTATTTGGTCTGGGGCGGTCAGATGTTCTGGACACTCGAAGGCAATAAAACCGGACCCTGTGGCTGTGTGTGTTTGGAGAGTGGGGTGGGGGCCAGGCGGCCTCGAGTGGGCAGGCGGGGCCCCGGGAAGGCCCCTGAACAGGACGGGGCCGGCAGCCCCTCCAGCCGGCTGTGCTGGGGCGCCCCCTGGCGTCCACGCCGAGTCCTTGCGCTCCCTGGCTTAGGGGCAGGGGCCATCCCAGATAGACCAGAACAAGGGCTGTGGCCTGAGCAGGCTCTGCCCAGTTGCCATGGTGCTGTTTCAAGGCTGGGTCAACGGCATTGCTCCTGTGCAGGACAGGGTGGGTCATTTGGTAATTCCTCAGGGCTTGTGTCCAGTGGGATGGCTGCGCTGCCCCCACCAGGTGTCCTTAGAGGCCCAGAGCAGGGAGCGGGTGATGGTGGCCGACTGGGCCTGCCGTGATAGGTCAGAGTGTGTGTGGGAGGGGCAGGGTCTGCCTGGGGGCATGGGTTGCCCTGCTCCCAGCCACCCTGTGTGCAGCTCTCAGCTCTCGCAGAGCTGGGGGCTGGCCCCTCCCTGGGTCGGGTGGGCTGCACCTTCCCCAGGTGGGAGGGTGGCCCACCCACCAGGTCACAGGCCCTGTCTCCCCGCCCCTGGTCTGCCTTGGCCGGCCTGGCAGTGAACTGTTGCTGCTGGTACGGTTAATGGCGCACCTCCCGTGAATCCGGGTCTAGAGCCCCCCGCCCTGCTGGCCAGGACTGGGCTCCCACCACTTCAGACTTCTCCTGTCTCAGTTCCCCTGGGGGCTTGCCCGGTCACCATTGGCTCCAGGAACCTGTTGGGTCCAGGCCCACCCAGCTCTAAGCTTTTACTAAACCAGACTTCCCAGAGGGAGGGTGAACTGGGGCCGGGTGGAGGGATGTGTGGGAGGCGTGCCTGCCCACTGCCCAGAGGTGGCCAGGGGGCAAGTGCTGGGTGAAACCAGGGAAGTCCCCCCGTTTCAGGAGAGATGGCACTCCTACCCACCAGCTGGACCGAGGGGACCCTCCCCCTCAGGCCTCTTGGTCCTGAAGGAGTGCAACCCTCCCCCCCAGGCAGGGCGTTGCAGCGGAGGAGAGATGGGGGGGCACCCGCAGAGGTCTGTGGACAAGATGGAGAGTTGTGAAAAGGCAAACCCACCTAGAGCTCCTCCTCAGGTGCCCTGTTCAGAGATGCACAGACGGGGAGACGGGGCTCCCAGGTGGAGAGGGGCCGCCAGCTCTACCAAGAGTTATTTCCTCCTTTCCCCAAACACACCCAAGAACACAAGTGAATCTGGGGCGTGTCCATGAAGTTGCTGTATTTTTTCAACCCACCATCCAGGTTTTGGGGTCTCCTGGGTGCCAGCCGTGTGCAGCCCCATCCCTGCCCCGAGGGGCTCACAGTCTAAGGGGGGTGGTGAGCCGGCTAGGGGGGTGCCCGGCCTCAGGAGGGGCTGACGAGGGGCAGGGGACCTTGTTTGGCAGGGCCTCGAGGGATGGGGCTTGTGGAGGTGTCGAGGCTGGGGATGTGGACAAGGCGCTCCAGGTGGAAGCTCTGTCTGGGCGGAGTGGGGAGGGTCAGGAAGGGCACGGGGGGCGGTGGGGGCGGAAAGCAGGGGGCAGGCTGGGCTGGGCTGGACCTCCTGTTGGAGGGCGGCCGGCTGGGGTCCCGAGAGAGACACCCTGGGGGGAAGCCCTAGGGAGGACTCCGGCAAGGGAGGGTCTCACAGGCAGGGAAAGGGCCCACCTGCCCATTGCACAAGTGGAAAGACCAAGACTGGGAGGGGAAGGACCTCCTGAAGGTCAGGTGGGTCTCCAGGGGCTCCCTGGGAGTCAGGGGACCCTTTCTAGACTCAGCCCTCCAAGGGGTCTTGGAGGAAGGTCTTACTACCCATTTTACAGATGGGACAGCTGAGACTCAGAGAGCTGAGACCCTCGCCTAAGGCCACACAGCTCATCCAGGATGGGCCAGGCCCACCAGGAAGGTCTGCCTCTGGGCCAGGCTGGTTCCGCTGCCAACCCCGGGTGCCAGCCCTGACTGGATTCAGGAGGCTAGAGATGGGGGTGGAGGGAGACCTTGAGTCGCAGGAGCTGAGGGAGACCAGCCAAGGGGCCTCTTGCCCACCGTCAGCACCCCCCGTGACTACGGAGCTCTAAACCAGAGACAAGCTGAATGCCGTCGGAGTGCCCCGGTGAATGGCTGCCCTCAGCAGTGAGCCCCGAGGGCCAAGGCTGCCCTGGGAGTGCCCTCCCAGCGCCCAGGACACTGGCAGGCCATGGCTTGGGCTCTGGCCAAGGGGAGCCCACCTGATCTCCATGAGGGGAGGGGTTGTCATTTGCAGGGCGCTGCACAGACTTCCCAGTTTGTCTCTGGGGGACACGGTCTCCCCGGCCTCACCCAGGCCTGCCAGTGCCTCCTGGGGCTTGCCTGGTTCCCCTGGGGACCCACGGAATGGTGGGCAGGCAGCGTACAGGTGTGACACATCTTTGTTGAATCTGGATCTTTCTTTCAAATGGAAAAATGTTATGCAACCAAGCGCTGTGTGGACAGAGCAGGGCTGCCTGACACGGTGGGCCCGGGGCTGGGGGTGGGTGAGCAGGAAGGTGAGGGAGGACGGCTGGACGTCAGCGCGGTCCGGCTGCCATCTGCTGAAGGAAGGACTGCCTGGTGGCAGGTTCTTGGATGCTGGGCTCTGGGTCATTCTTAAGATCCTCAAAAGCTCCAGGAGAGGAGGGAGAAGTCAGAGGTGCCCCCTGCGGTCCGTCTGCCCACAGCCCCGCCCTGACAGGGCAGCGCCCTCGTTCCCACCTGGTGTGTGGGGGGCAGGTTGGCACCCAGACCCCACCTCCTGGGCCTTCTGGGCCTGGGCGCTCCCCTTCCCCACCCCCTCTCAGCCCCGCGTGTTTGGGGGTCCACCCTCCCTGTGACACGGGTGTGGGTGTGGACGGGTTGGGGCCACTTTCTGCAGAACAGCAGCTTCGTGTCCATGTCCTTGACCACCTGGGACACGGCCTGGGGGTGGTGGCAGATGGTATAACCTGTGTGACAACCAGGAGCACGCTGGCCGGTGGAAGGGGGCTCGGACCCGCTCCTGACCCTCTGAGGCCTGGCCCCCTCGCCACCTTTCCTCTTGCCAGTGGCCCTCGAGCTCCAGCTGCAGTGGCGAGGCAGGTGCTGGGTGGGCGGGTGAGGCTCAGGGCGCTCAGGCGGGGCAGGCCCGGGGGTCCCCAAGCCCGGCCCCCGCTCACCCATGAAGAGCGCTGCCCAGGTCTTGATGTGACGACGGCGGCTGTGCAGGTAGCCGAGGGCCTGTGCCAAGTGGATGCTGAGCCCCTCCTGGCTGTGGGTCATCTGGGGAGCACGCCTGTCACTCGCTGGGGCCAGAGGGCTGGGCCCACACAGAGCATGGACCGGAGCCCCAGGCCCGGGGAGCCTGGCTCCTGGCCCCCCTCCCCTCCCATCCCCCGCTGCGGCCCCAAACCAGGCAGCTCCAGAGGAAGTGGCTGGCGCCAAGTCTCGCCTCCCAGGCCAGCGTGCAGGAGAGGGTGTGCCGCAGCCGCACCGCGGTGGAAGGCGAGCTTGGCCTGCTGTGGGGACCGCAGGGGAGGGCCCGGGCTCGGGTAGGGTCTGAGGAAGATGCAGCGTGGGCGCGCCCCTCCTGGGCTCCTTCCCGCTGCCTGTGAGGCTGCGCTCAGCCCGCCCACCTCCCTGGCCGTGGCACCAGGCCCCGCTCAGCCCCTATTGGCTTGGACACTGGCCGCTATTGTCCATCTCCCTGGCCGCTGGGAGCTCCAGGAAGGCCGAGCTGTGTCTTAGGGGCCTGGCGTGGGGCACGGGCTGGCACACAGTAGGGCTCAGCCCATATCTCAGCAAGTTCAACGAACAACCTGAGCCCCGACTGCAGGCCAGGCGCTGGGGGCACATCAGTGAGCAGGACAGACAGTGTCCTGACCACAGATGGCACGGCCACGTGTTTGCACGTGTGTGTGAGTGCACGTGTATGCACATGGGGAGGGGCAGGGAAACCAAGGAGGGGGCCAAACCTGCCCCCCTGCCATCTACAGCCCCCCAGCCCCCTGCCACCTGTGGGTCCCCAGCCCCGCCAAGGCGAAGGCCCATCGGGAGGCACTGACCGTGACGACGGCCCGGCAGCTGTCCTTCAGGTGCAGCAGCAGGGCCACCATACTCTGGTGCACCTGGGTTCTCAGGCCACTTAGCTTTCTGCCTGTCATTGACGCCACCAGCTCCCCGAACAGTGCCATGGCCGCTGCCTGGACTCCATCCCGCTCCTGCAAGGCAGAGGCTCAGGGCCAGAGCCAGACCTGCCTGGGGCTCCTGACCCTCCGCTCCGTGGTGGGGGTGGGGCTCAGTCCCCTCAGCGGGACCCTTTCACCTGGGCTCAGGGCTCTCAGGGACAGGGCTCCTGGGGAGGGTCACAGGCCATCCTCAGGGACCTGAAATCGTTTCTCTTTCATGCTCACAATCACATCCTGACAACCTGAGTGTCATGAATGCAGCTGGGGGGGGGGCAGGGCTTATCACTCTAATTTACCAGTGAAGGAAAATCTGCCATTGCAAACGTGCTGACAGGTCAGGAAGGTGAGGACAGGTGGGGTTGGAGAGACTGGATGTCGGCGCTAGTTCAGCCCCATGGAGAGGGGCGAGCGCCACCTGGTGGCCTCCCGGCTGGTCCACCTGTGCCGGTGCACACCCAGGGAGCTGCCCTGGACCTCCACCTCCCTGCCCCAGCTGGACCGTGGCCTGGGGTCCTCCCCGCCTTCGAGGAAGGGAGCGGGGGAGGCACAGGAGGGGCACGAGATGGGGGCACTCGCCCCTCCCTGGGCACACTCACGTCGTCGGAGAAGAAGCGGGCGTTGATGGCGATGCCAAAGCTCTGGGCCTTTGTGCTGTGTGCGCCCAGGCGGTGCAGCATGTCCGACACGGTGCCCATGATGCGCACCACCACCGGCTCGCCGCTGTGGAAGAAGCCGTCGAGGAAGGGTGGCAGCAGTCCACGGAGCAGGCGTCCCTGGGGGAGGTGGGGCCGGTGGGCAGTGGGACCCCTGCCTCTGCACACACCCCGCACCCCAGCCCTGCCGGGTAGACCCAGAGCCAACACAGACTCTGCCCTTCCCAGACCCCCATCCAGGCCTGGGCACCTGCACTGTTCCCTGCGCCCTGCTGGATCCCGCCCTGGCTCTGCCCATGAGGGAAATGAGCTCCGAGCCCTGGTCTGTCCACTGGGAGCTGTGGACAGACTGAGGACAGGCTTCTCCTCTCTGAGCCACTGGGGGTCCTCCTGGGGTTAGGGGAGCATTAGCCCCGTGCTAGTTGGCTCCCAGGTCCTTCCTGTCCAGCTCCGTGCTGGCCAGAGCGCCCCCACCAAGTCCTGGAGACCACCCTTCCCTTCCTCCGCCCCACCCTGCCTTTACCCCCATTCCTAGCCTCCCCATGGGTCAGAGAGCGCCTGGGGGGCTGGAGGAGACAAATTTGGTCAGGTGGGCACACACTGAGGTCGCTGGCGAATCACGTCATGGGGAGTTGGGTGCACCAGTGGTGGCTCCAGACCTTCTATGTTGCAATGACCATTTCCCATTTTTACATTACTTTGAAAGAAAAAGCTAAGTTCATTTTCAGCCAATTCTTTCTGCTCCTCTTGTGTGCAGTGTGCTCATGAATTGTCTGGATGGACATGTCAGAAAGGGACATGTCAGCAAATGGATGTTTCCCACCATCAAGCCCCTTATCAATGACTTGTGCAAACTAGGCTGTTTTTACAACTTTTAAGCAAGTTTTTGGCAACTTCATTGGCTTCCTAAGCTGTATTAAATTAATTTCAGTGACAAACACTTTCTGAGCACCAACTGGGTGCAGCCAGGGTGCTGGGACCCAGGTCTGGCAGTGGACTGGACAGGCAGAATGGATTCTAACGGGAAGGACCCAAAGTTAAACACACAACATGGCGTGTGTCAGTCAGTGACGAGTGGTATGATACAGCAGGGCAGGGGTGGAGGTCCCAGCAGAGGTGGTGGTTATGAAGGTTTTAAAAAAATTATTTTATTTATTTATTTATTTATTGGCTGTGCTGCACAGCATGTGGGATCTTAGATCCCCGACCAGAGATCGAAGCCTTGCCCCCTGCATTGAAAAGCGGATTCTTAACCAATGGACCACCAGGGAAGTCCCTAAAGTTTTAATTTTAAGTAGGATCAGAGCATTTGTTACTGAGAAGGTGACAGCTGAGCAAATTCTTACAAAGAGGTGCTGGAAGAGCTTTCCAGCAGAAGGAGCAGCAAGTGCAAAGGCCCTGAGGCAGGAGCACGCCTGGGTGTTTGTGGGGTTTGTTGATTGGCTGAACGACCTTACTGTTTGGGGCTGGAGCAACTGGACGGGTGGAGCCCCCATCACCTGAGATGGGGGCTGCAGGAGGAGCCTGTTTGGGGTGAGGGGTCCGTTGTGCACAGGTTGAGCTTGAGATGCTGCTAGAATCCAAGCAGTTTGAGGGTCGAGGCTGGAGTTCAGGTCCGCGTTTGGGATACAGGTTTGGGAGCAACTGGCCTATAGGCGGTACATAAAGATTGGAGGATACCACCAAGGGAGCAAGTGTAGACCAAGGAGAACGGCGGGAAGGGGTCCAAGAACAGGAGGAAGGACTGGTGAAGATGACAAGGCACCACCTTCGATGTGGGAGGAAAACCAAGTGAGGGAGGGGTCCTGGGGCCAAGTGGACGGAAAGGTCACCCAGTCACATGTGCTGACGGGTCCACTGCGGGGAGGTCACAGGTGACCTGAACGGGAATGGTTTCAGGTCAGCTGTGGGTGGGAGGCATGCTAACTGGAGCGTGTCTGCCTTCCTTCGATGGCTACATTTGCAGCGTTTTCAGTTGAATTATTTCATTAATATGTAGGCATGACATTGGTAGCATCTTCTAAAAGCAAAATATAATTTCTAACAAGGACAAACATGGCTGCGCGCCAGTCCTGAAAGCAGCGTGCAGGTTCTCAACGTGATTGTCCCATGACTGTCAAGTCGTTTTTAGCCTAGTTGTCTGGATCCCCTCCCCCGAGGTGAGCAGTGGGATTGGTGGAGGGGGCCCTCCTTCCGCCTGCCGAGCTGGCCCCTTGTTCCCTGGTAAGAGGACCCCTTTGTGGCAGGGGTGGACTTCCCTGGCCTCCTCGCGTGACCACTGGAGCAGAAGTGAGTGATCAACTTGCAGGTCGTGCCTCAAGGGGCAGGGTGTGCCTGCTGGCTGGAGTGGGCATGCTGGTGGCCTCCCAGGCCCTGCAGAGGAGGGCAGCACCCAGAATGGAGCACAACAAACGAGGAGCCTGCTCCCCTGGGGAGTGCAGAGCGGGACAGCCACAGCGGCGGGAGAGAAATGCACTTCTACCGTGTGTAAGCGGTCGGTTTGGGTCTTTTGCGTGTAGCTACTCTCCGGTCTCCCAGTGCACACACCGGCACCCAGTTAGTGCGATTTGTGTTTGACGGTAGACAGAAGTGGACAGTCCTGCGGGGCCATTTGTTCTCATGGGCCCCAGCGGAGGGTGCCTCTCTGGCGTCTAGGGCAGCGACCGCGGCCCCTCCCTCAGCCCCGGGGCCTGCTCCATCCCTGCCCAGTTCAACGTGTCCCCACAGAAGCAGGTCTCCTTGGCTGGGGGGCTCAGGGTGTGTTGTTTCCCCCAGCCCTGCTGTGGCTGCACCCCCCCTTGGGAACCATCCACCTTCCCTAGCCCTGGCCGTGCTGGTCTGGTAGCCCCCTCTGCTCTGTCTTCTCTCTTCCTGCAGGTCCACACTCAGTGCGGGGTAGAGAGGAAGCACATGGACACTTCCTACTGATTGCCTGTCTGGGAGAACACCTGGGGATAGGTGTCTGGATGGCTGACCACTGACAGAATGAATGAATGAGTGACAAAGCAAATGTGAATAACTGATTGAGTGAAATGAATGAATGAAAGAAATAATAAAAGAATGACTCATAAATGAAGGACCCAAGGAACAAGTGGATGGGTGGATGGATGAGTGGGTGGATGGATGGATGGATGGATGGAGGGATGAATGGCTGACTTTATGAATGGATGAGTGGGTAGGTAGGTGGATGAGCTGGGGGGCTGTAGATGGAACGGCCAGATCCCCCTAAGGCAGCATTGCAGACCTTCCCTTCTGCCTCTTTGGCAATGTTCCAGCTGTTCATTCATTATGGGATGTGGGTTGCACGGTGATGGGTGCAATCGGGAGGGAGTGAAGCTGAGTCTGCAATGACCGGGGGTACCTGCCCATAAGATTCTCAGGGGAGGCTCCTGTCTGCGGGCCAGCCTTGGGGTGCCACCTGGTGGGCTCCTCCTAGGTGCCTGGAGGTCTGCAGGAGCGTCCGCCTATTCCCGGGTGTGGTGGAGACAGCGTCCTTCGGGAGTAGATGCTGCACCCCTCCCGCGGCCCTGCCAAGAGGCCATCACCAGCGCCATTCTGCAAGTGAGGAAACCTAGCCCCAGAAAGGTGATTTTGTGTCCCTAGAGCCGGGATTCCAACCCAGTGGGCCTTGTCTGCACCCCGCACACCTGGCCGCTCTGGGGGTTGCTCCAGCCACGGCTCCCCTCACCCTCTTACCTTCTCTGGGAAAAAGAGGATGTTTCCCAGGACCTACAGGCTCAGCACGCAGACCTCAGGGCTGGGGTCCCTGAGGCTTTGGGCCAGCATGGTCAGGGCGGCCTGTTTGGGGAGCACCTCCAGCAGGGCAGGGCTGTAGAGGAGCTGGGTGGCCCCCGGGGCAGGCGGGTCAGTCCTGGCATCCTCTCCTAGGGGCCTTCATCTGTGTCTGGGAGCAGGGCTGTAGGACCAGGGCCTGGCAGGCGGTTTGGGGAGGGTGGCTGACCTGCTCCCTCTGGGTATCTTGGTTAATGGGTATTTGAAACCCACCTCCAAGCTGGTTCGATCCTTCAATGTACAGCTGGGGAGACTGAGGCCCAGAGGGGGAAAGGTCCTTGTCTGAGGTCACACAGCGAGGCTGGGAGCAGCATACATCAACAGTCTGGCTCGTGGGGCACTTGGGGACAAAGCCCTGTGGAGGGAGGCCCAGACGTTCCTCGAGCGGGGTGGGGTGGGAGAAGCACAGGCTTTGATTGGGGTCTCCTTCTACTCTTTCACTGCCCTTTTGGCTTCACGGTCCCAGGGGTGGGACCTCGAGTCATCAGGGAGCAGGGTGCGTGGAAAGACAGTCCCCCCAGGCTGCAGGCTGAGGGGGCGCTGGGAGGTGCGGACCCAGCCAGAAGCCCCCGACCGTGGGCCCCAAGGAGCTGGAAGCGGGAAGGAGGGGTGTGAGGGGTTTGTCGGGCAGGTGAGGTGCTGGTGTGGTTCTGGCGGCGGCTGAGGCAGCCGGACGAGGGGCTCAGGCTGTCTCTGAGGGGCTCCCCTCGCCGCACGCAGGTCCCCGTGAGGATGACGATGGCTGCCTTCCTCCCCCGCTGCTCCTGGCTCTGCAGGCTGGGTAGCAGCTGGGTGATCAGCGCCGTGACTTGCTTGCAGCGGCTCTGCACCATGGCCTTGGGCACAGGCGAAGGGCAGGGGCAGGGCTTGGGCTTGCGGACACAGCCCCGTGTCCCCCTCCCCACACACCCCAACCCAGGGGCCAGGCGGCCAGAGGTGTTGCTGAGCGTGGGTGGGCACATCTCTCTTCGACCGTTTCCTGCTCCCTTTGCACCCACTGGCCACCCACTGGCTGCCAGGCCCTGGCTGAGCATGGGATGGACAGGGGAGCAGATTTGGCCCTTGTCCCCTAGGAGGCCTCAGGCTGTGGAAGGGGCCGGAGGAAGATGCCTGCATCCTAGGCTTCCAGTGTGTGCGCGTGAGACGGGGGCGGGGCGCCCGTGCTTTCCGTGCCCTGCGTGCACACGCGTGAGTCCGTGGGGCTGTGCTCGCAGGCAGGCCCTGGAGGTACGGAAGTCCACAGCCTAGCCTTCTGGGCAGGGGTGACCCGGGCAGTCCCCTTCCCCTGGCCCCGCCCCGCCCCTACCTGGCGAGGAGGCCCATGCCCTGCGGGTCGGTGTGGGTGGTGGCGAACAGGTCCCAGGCTCCCTGCAGCTCCAGGTGGGCGAAGTCCTGCCAGTGCCCAGTGGCGGGCAGCAGGCTCTTCAGCGCCTCCAGCGACGTGCTGCGGCAGTGCAGAGGGGTCCCCAGCCAGCCTCGCCCTTGGGGAGGGTGCCCAGCCATCGCAGGTGGAAAGGTGCCTTGTGGTTCCCGTCTGCACTCAGGGCCCGGCAGCACTGGGGCCTCCCGGGGGCAGCTCGTTCCCGGCCTCCTTCAACAGAGATGTCGGGGCGTGGGATGGGTGTGCGCCCGGTGGCGGAGCAGGAGACTGGAGGGGGCCTCCTGGGAGGGGCGGGTCCAGGGGGAAGCTCGAGACAGGTTTGGCACATGGTCAGTGTGAGGTGCCCACAGCTGGCTTTCCAGGGCTGGAGAGAGAGAACTAGGAGACACCGGGGACAGGTGGTTTCCCCAGTTGCAGGGTGGAGGGGGCCCCAGCAGAGCCTCGATGGACACTGCCGTTTAAAAGTGGAGCTGAGAATGCAGAGGGGTCCCGGCAGGGGAGGAGGACAGTGGGGGTGTGTGTCACGGGGGCCTGGAGGAGGGTCCACCTGCAGCTCCTGAGGATGCGGGGAAACCAGGTCCACCGGCCGCGTGCTTGCGTGGACTCAAGAAAGAGAGCTGGACCCGGAGCACGGTGGGACAGGGTGCGGGTCAGGGACCGTGCTGCCCGTGCCCCGTCCGGGTCACACAGCCTGGCCAGGGGCCGCAGAAGCAAAGCGCGGCTAGGCCGCGGGCTCCAGACCTGCACAGTGGTGTCAAGCCACGGGCTCTGGGCTGCCCCAGGCCCTGCAGGCAGTGCACGGGCGGAGGGCCCGGGAATAGCTCGGTGGCCCGTCTCCCTGCCTAGCCACCCCGCGCCTGGTGGCGTCACCTGGATGTGTGAGCGCCCCCAGAGTGAGGCTGTCAGCTTGGACCAGGCACAGCTCTGATCAGATTTGCAAATCCAAATGTGAAGGGATGAAATGCCACTCCGTGAAAGTCCCCAGTGGGGCCGACTCAAATGTCAGCTGGCCTGTCATCTTGCCCCCAAGCCGTGCCGCTAAAAAGAGGCTGAGTTTTCCGGGTCACTGGTTTCAGCCAGAGTGATGCCGGTTTCAGGAGAAGGCGACTCCGGGCACACTGGCATTTTGTCTGCTCTGTGATGACTCTCGGAAGCTTCTGGTCCTGGGGCACGTTGGGCATCTCCTCTCACGGTTGCTGTGTCCCTGCACCACACCAGGGCTTCTGGAAAGATGGCGTTTGGCTGATTTGGGCATTCTTGGGACTCCCTTGCTGACTCTCGGGGTGAACAGCATCACTTGTGGGGCCCTAAAGCCTAAGACCATCCCCAGCCCAGGACCCCGGGCAATGCACAGGAACCCTTGTTGCCTGAAATCCATGCAGCTCCTTGACCGACAGAAGACGGAGGCCCTCGGGTCCGAGCCCGGCCATGCAGGACTCCCCTCCCTTCCTCCTGGGGTGAAGTCGTGCTCTCCTTCAGCCTCACCCCAGGGATGCCTGGCGCAGAACGACTCTGAAGATGAGGGAGGGCTGGAGGGTGGGCTGCAGGGGTGCAGGGAGCCTGCGGGGTTCACACAGAGCTAGGGCTTTCTGTGCATCAGTGCCACGGGACACAGACCGCTGCTGTCCCGGGGGGACGAGGGAATGGAGCGTGGCCCTTTCCTTCCCTCCTGGGGTCCCCCCATCTGACGTGAGCTGCAGGAGGAGGCTCTGTCTTCTCATCTTTGTATGTCGCCCCAGTGCCGACCGGATACTGTCATTTCCGCGGCACGGAGCCCCCTGTAGCTCCCCACTGTTCTGGGACTGAGCCGTGGGGTCACCTCCTTCCTGTCCCTTCCTCTTTGGGGTACCCCTGCCTGGAAGGCTCTCTGCCCTCCTTTCCGCACCCAGTGAGCTCTAACCACCATTCAGGTCTGTCCTCAGAGGCTGGGGGCGCCCCCCTAGGTCATCCTTTGCAGAGGCTGTGCCTCTCCTTCAGGGCACTCTCCAGGGTGTATCATGCATCACCGGGCTGTCACTTGACCCCATTTGCATTTCCATGGGGCTGAGCTCCTGAGTGCAGGGATGGCTCTCTGGTGACTGAGCACGGTCTGTGACACAGCAAGCGCCATCCGTATTCACTAAATAATGAGAGCAGGACAAACAGGACACTTAGCAAGTATCGGCCAAAGAATACATAAGCCGTTAGTCCTTTCTCTCCTCTTTTCGACCAAGAGCTGTGGGGAGCACGGAGTGGAAGGGGGGCCGAGGCTGAGGCCAGGGGCCAGGGAAGGAGGCAGGTCCGAGCAGGGCCGTGTGGACTCCAGACCGGGGCAGAGCACCAACCTTCCCGTCTGTCCCTTCCTGCTCAGGAATCCCTGCTCAACCCCTGGGAAGTCACAACCCCCATGGGTCCGAGGAATCAGGAGGCCCTTGGGCCTGAGACCACGGCACCCCAACTGGGCAAATCGAACAGAAGACGTTTGGGCTGGGGTCATGATCTAACCCTTAACTGAGGCCCCAAGTGTTGGTCACTTGCATAGGGTCACCCTAGCATAGAGGCTACCCAGTCCTCTGCGGCGCCTGACCCGCACAACACCTGGGGAGGGACCAACCCCATCGCACAGAAGAAGAAACCAAGACCATGAGATGGAGAGACCAGCTCAGAGTGCTCACAGTGGGGTTAGGAGGAGATCTTAGATCTCAGATCCAGGCCCCAAACAGCATATCATTATTAACTGCTTATTTGTTCCTTGTCGACTGCCAAAACCCAGGACTACGAACAGTGTTTTAAATAAAAGAGCTTTAAATTAAACTTAAAGCTTTAAGTCGAAAAGAGGACTAATCAGGAAGTGAGAAACAAAAGGAAGCACCCCCGTGCCACAGTGAGAGATGACTGAACATTAATTTTATGTGAGCTTCCTGGCAGCCAGGGCAAGAAGGAAAATATGCTGGATTATACCTATAAGTGGATGAAGGGAGTGTCTTTGAAATGAAGAGAAATGAGATGTCCTATTAGAGTTAAAGAGATTCAGCCCATAATGGATGAAACAAGAGGAATGGGAAGTCCTTTGTGGGGCAGGGTGGACATTGCCTGGAGGAGGACCTTGCTGAGAACCAACCAAAGCAGGAAACGTCTCTAAAAGAAGGGGTTTTGTTCATCAGAGATGCAAAGGAAAGGGAGAGTCCCAAGGCAGGGCCGTCCACGCTTGCTCCTTCCCTGGCAGGAAGCCCTGCCAAACCCTCACCTGTTGCTTCCAGGGGCCGGCACAGCTTAGCAGGACGTCAGGAACCTCAGAGGCCCAGGACTAGTCTGACTCTGCCTTGAGCCTTGCGTGGCTGCCACAGGTGTCCCGTGCCACCCTCATGCTGCCGGGGGCACCCACAAGACAGTGGGCCTCTCGGTAGTGAGTGCCCAGATCCCTCTTCGGCCCCCGTCCCCCTTGATGGTACCACCACATCCACCTAGTGTCAGACCTGGGACCACAGTGATGCGCCTGGGTGGTGCTGCCCTCTGAGGCCCGGGAGCGGCTGCTGACCTCTTCGCTGTCCTTGATGGCTGGCGGACATCACTGCCGCTTGGCCTGCTGTGCTCTCGGGCCCCTTGGGGTGGTATCCGCATCGCCGTTGTCCTCTGGGCAAGGGGCCCAGGTCCCATCCCAGCTCCAGGGAAGGTGTGGGAGACAGACCTGGTCAGTCAGAGCCCCACATGCCCCTGTGGCCAAGGCAGTTGGTTCAGGCGTGGGCCTGTGAACTAAGCTGGGCCAATTAGAGCCAATAGACGTGCCCAGGACGGGAGTCTGTCCTGTGGTTGCTGGGGCCCCGCCCTTCTCTTCCGGGAGGACCCGCCCAGGGAAAAGCCAGGACCTGCGAGGTGGGAGGGGGGAGGGCTGAGGCTGCTGGAGCATCTTGACACAGCTGAGCCTGAGCAGAAGGCCCCCTGGTGCTCCCCGTGAGGTGACAGCCATCCTGTTCTCTGGGGGAGCCCTGTGTGAGACAGACATATGTCCCTGCTCCCCGGAGCCCCCATTATATGGGGCACAGATGACAGCTGTAGCTGGGATGGGCTGGGGGAGAACGCAGCACGGAGGGAGGAGGGCTGCTGTTTTAGAGAAGATGGTTGGGAGACAGCAGGAGGTGAGGCTACTGGGGGAAGAGCACCCCAGGAAGAGGGCGCAGCAGCTGCAAAGGTCCTGAGGCAGGAGTGTGCTGGGTTTGAGAAACGGCAGGAAGATGCTGAGGCTGGAGCAGAGGGTGTGCGTGGATGGTGGGGGCCTGTGGCAGGAACTGAGGTCCTGGAGGAGACAGGCACCCAGATGAGGAAGGACCAGTGGGCCACCGGAAGGTTTGGGCCCTTCTCAGAGTTAAAGGGGGAGGAAGCAGGGAGGGTTCTGAGCACAGGCGAGGTCTGACCTGACTTAGGGGTGGAGGGCAGTCGGGGGGTGGTAAGGGGGAGAAGGGGAGGCTGGACCTCATGGGGCGGGGGAGGGAAGCTGATGGGCCAGGCAGTTCATCATAGCTTTCTCCTAACCCTCCTGTTTCTGGAAGGAGAACTTTTTAATAGCTTATTAGGGAAGATTCATGCATTTTGCATGGTTGATTTGAATAAAAAAGGAACTTGGTGCATATTCGAATTCAGAAGCAATATGAGAGAAGTGACAGTTTTTTTCAGTGAGTGTCTTGGGGAGAGCTGTTAAAACTGACAGCTTGTGTGAAGCTCATCATAATACCAACAAATGAAAAGAGGTCGCCCCGAGGCTTTTAAAGACTTGCTTAATGGATTTCTCCAGATATGCCGCAGTGCAGAGGAAGGCAAGCCTGCCAGCCCGGGCCATGACCCTCCCACAAGGGGCCAGTCCACACTGGTCAGGAGGGGGGTGGGGGGAGGCTGACAACTGTCCAGCACATCAGAGCGAAAACGTGCCAGGGTCCGGCGCCCTGTGCAAGGGAACCCGGAGGGTGTCTGCCTGCAGGGGCCGAGTGGTGGCTGGGCAGGCATCCCTGCCGTTCTATGGGCTCTAGCTCAGCAATGCACAGACATTCTGTGTGGCTCAGAGGAAGCCTCCTCTCCTGCCTCTGGTCTCC